CCAGAGTGTTAAAACTAACTTTAAAAGTTTTCTTTTTATTCAGTCCATTTTCTGCGATTTTTTTTAAACATCTATGAATGTTTGACAGGAACTGAAATTCTGTTTTTGAAAAGTCCAAACATTCCTGTTTACAAGAGTCTTTAATTCTCAAAACAGTCTTATAAAATTAAACAACTCTTAGAAAGTTTTAGCCTAAGTTCTTGACTCTACCTGACAATTTTAGAAACAAAGATTTTCTTGTCTTCCTGCTTTTAGGAGAGAGGGTTTGCTTGCATGACACCAGTGATTGATTAATTCCCCATTAATATAAATATTCTGTATTTAAATAGCTTCTTACATTACTAATTAGTCTAGCATTGAATGACGTTGCTATAGTTGTACGTAACACATCTTACTATTCATATAACAATAATATCAGACAGTTTTATTAAATGAAGGTTTATATTTAGATACAAAATATTTGCAAATATAAATACTGAAAGAAGCTTATGCCACCTTAAGCATTTGAGATACAACAAAGGTTTTCACCTTTAAGTGGAAATATGAGTTGGAAGTAACCAGTATCTTTTGTAAGACAAAGGAAAGATTAAAGGAACTTTGCAACAACTAAACAGGTGACACAAGCCTTCAAGTATTTCAGTCTGTAAACACCACAGAAGGAGAGGAATTGGTTAATGTGGTATGTTGGGGAATAACTAAAAGCAATGGGATGAAATTAAGAATGGAAAAGTTTAGGCTATCAGGAAAAACTTCTGCAACCTAAAACATCTCGTTGGCAGGAACAAACTGATAAGTGAAGTGTAGTCGCTTCAGTCATTTAAAACTAGGCTGGATAAAGCACTATAAATGTACTATAAGGAACACCGCTTATAAGCGGAGAGAGATAGTAAATACACTAACAGGTCTTTTTCGTGTTCAGATTCTTCAGGTTTGTCTAAACACAGAAGTTGCACTGGTTCAACTAAAGATGTGATATTGAACCAGAACAGTTCTATATGGAGACCCTTACATCTGTTTAAACCTAACCTATATCAGTTTAGATCATGCCCTGCACAGCCTCTCTGCCAGCTGGAGATTGGTAGAGTGCAGTACACTCCAGCCATGCCCCCTCTCTTTGAATAGATCCTATCCGCTCTCCTGCGAGACTTGTATCACCAGACCTGCTCCTGGCTTGTGGATTTGCTGGAGCCTTGCACAGGAATGACTAAACTATATATGGTGATGAATCAGGCTCTAACTCAGGGATGATTCATTACTTTATAATTTCCCCTGGACCTCTCTGTTAACAAGTCTCTCGTATTTTTTATCAGCTTCTATCTAAATGGGCGTAGCCCTCTGGCTAACAGATACCTGTTTCTCAAGCCCTGCCCGTTGCACCTGCCTTTGAAAATATGCCCCAGAGAATTCAGTGATTCATCTGTTGTGCAGTGCTGCTGTGTGTTACTAAATGTGGCTGCATTTGAGTGCTGAATGATGTGATCCCTGCGTTTACTGGGTTTGTATCCATTGGTTAAGTTTGTAAAGCATTAATGATTCTTTTGGGATGAAAGGTACAATATTGTAATTTAGCACAGTTTGGTATACGCAAAATGCCCACTTCAATAAAGGCTCTTTCTATTTCCACACCAAAAGGCATAATGGATGTAATGTAGTCACAGCATGTTCCCTGAAATCCTTGGATCAGTAATATTAAAATTCCAGAGACCTATTTAATAAGCGACACAATGTCAGAATACTATGTTGATGTAGAATCACTACACCTCTTTCGCATTTCTCGCTTTCTCCAGACCTTTCTCTTTTATATTTCCTTAATTCTCAGATGTAGTCAGTAAGGCAGGAGGATAAGGCACATTTCAGAAATCTGCATAGCCCCATCTTCCTCCTCCAGTGTCACACACAACACATCATACCTTCATCAGAACAAAAATCCTGGACCCATCAGGAGGCCAGATGTTCAGGACCAGCTCCTTTGCGTCCAGTCATGTTTGGGAAACTTGGAGCTATTCTAAGTTGCTTGCAACAGGAGGAACTCTGGAGACTTTGATTTCACAGTTCATCTGAAGACATGGATACAGATCTTTTGTGTATATCCCTGGTGGTTGTTTGTCCGGTCCAGAAATCTTCCAAAGATATTTTTGTGCCAACTCCAGTAGTAAGAACAGCCATACTGGGTTAGACCAATGGTCCATCAAGCCCAGTATCTTGTCTTCCAACAGTGGCCAGTGCCAGGTGCTTCAGAGGGAATGAACAGAACAGGTAATCATCAAGTCATCCACCCGTCAATATCCCCCAGTCTTTGGTGCTTTACCCAGTATACACTATTCTGATCTCAATTACATCAGCCTAAATTCAGGGTAACTCTACTGGTATCAGGAGTATTATTTTGGATAGCTGGCCTGTTTCTTCAAGGCCTTTCAGACCCTCAACCTGTGTAAACTGTTGTAGCTCAATTGATGTCAGTTTTCACCATCTGAGGATCTGGCCCTATGGTTGCATCTCGTGTACCGTGGTGTCCCCACCCAATGGTTCAACAATGTGAGAGGGCCAGTCTTTCACCCCTACAGCCAGTGCTTACTTTGTGCTAGGGTTTGCCAGGGCTGAGCCCCAGCACCTCTAGGCTTGCTGCATCAGTTATGACGTTAAAAAAATTGCTTGAGCCCCAGCACATCTTTCATTATGAATTTAAGCACTGCCTACAGGCCTGGTTGTCTAGAGAGCTGGAAGGAAATCCTACTGCCACTTCCTGCTGCCAGCTCTCCTCTGATTGCTCGAGGGGATGGCATTCCAGTAGGGACACAGCAGGCTGAGAGTCTGGGCTCAGGACTGGGGGCAGCCTGTCTGGAGGTGACTATGAACTTGCACTATACTGCACTGCACATGAGGATCAACCAGAGCCAAAAGTGAAGGAGGTGCCGCTGATTGATGACTGAGGGACTGAAGTTCCAGGGGCTCTTGGATGTTTGTTTGCTGACAAAGGGGCTGGACTGATTTCTGGATGAATCTCTGCCTCCCCAAAGTTGGATGTTTCCACACCCCAAGACAAGGGATGGGAGTTTGGCACTAACTACCATAGGAGATAACCCCCACCACAGCAGTAGTTTACACTTGTGGAAAGGGAGTGCCAAGTGGGTGTAAAACATTATCATTCCTGGTTTTTAACTGACCCACAGTCAGTTTGTTCCATTGCTATTAACAAACTCCAAGTGGAGAGATTCTGATCATCATTTCTTTTGAACAGCTAATAGATGTTTTGTTGTCCTGCTGCTTAGGTGACTTCAGTAATACTATGAATTCTCCTTTGCTTTTCCCAAAGCTGTAATGCACTTATATAAAGTAGGATAAGTTCCTATATCAAGTTTATAGGAAAGTTGCTGTTCTTTCTCCCCTTGTGTCTTTATGCTGCCTTGAGTGGGAGACATGCCTGCCTGCCTATCTCTGTGTCTTATCTTATGTGGCTCTTATTACTGAGGTATCTTAGTGCCCACTAAAATGATAAAAGAGACGCTGCCGATCTATTTCTTTCTCTCTCTCTCTCTTTCTCTTCCCTCCAGTTAGCGGGGACCAGACTTTGTTTATTTTGTATGTTTTGTTTTGGTTGGAGATTATCCATCTTCTTGAAGATGGTTGGTTCTCACTTTTAAATAAGTAGTGGCACAAATATACTAAGTCCCCCAGTCCTGCGGGTCAACTCTTTGGTCCCCACAGAGTCCTAGTGTGTGGGCACAGCAGCAACCAATGCTTAACTTTGATCACGTAGCCCATTAATTTATCTCCAAAAGGCATGGCAGCATTATTTAACTACCACAGTGGATTCCCTGGAAGCTGGTTTATTGGAGCACTCTAGCCAGGTTAGGTTTAATTTGGAAAAAGACTCTGAGAGATTGCTTTGTTTTTTCTCAGATTGACAATGTATTGACATTGCCTTAGCAATACTGAGGTGTAAATGTAACTAAGTGACACTAAAGAAATGCATCCGATGAAGTGAGTTGTAGCTCATGAAAGCTTATGCTCAAATAAATTTGTTTGTCTCTAAGGTGCCACAAGTCCTCCTTTTCTTTTTACTGAAGAAAAACTAAATCTTCTGTGAGCAAATGCAAGAAACAATTGACTCTGTCCCTCTGCATGGACTTCCTGACAAATAAACCAGGTCAAATAGGCTGATTTTATACTGTGCATTTTCTCCTTGCTCCAAATGTTTGTGAGTCAGAACTCCCTAAAAATAAGCTCTGTGAAGTTTAGAACGAATGATACCCTCACAGAGAATTTTCTTGAGTTATGTAAAGTGGCAGAGGGTGATGATGAAAATCAAAACAACAAATGAATGCTATGTTTAGTGTATGCTTTCATTGCCTGTGCAAAAGGAAAGTATATCCCCCCAAAAAGTCAGCTGTGTCTTATCAGCTTTGCAAAATGATGAATGAATGCCTTGTTCATTACTATTGCTTAAGTCATTCCTATTTATGCCAGTATTTCAAGGATTATGTTTTGATTGTTCTTGAGAGATGAAAACACTTTCTTGCTGATGAATAAACACTGCCGCTTTTTAAATATTTGTATGCAAAATGTCTTTAAAGCCATTATGAAATGCTTTCCAAAAGCATTAAGAAGCTGTTTTTCGAAAAGCCACTTTTTCTCTACGTTTTCTTTCATGCTAAACAGTCCAAATGAAAGGCCTTTCAGAGTTAACTAGTTTGAGCAATACCAGTGTTTTAGTGTAATGAATAACTTTTTATAGAGGACAATTGCAGAGAGTTCAATATGTTAGTATTTCTATTTCTGTGCCCCACCAATGCGGGATTCTGTGATAGAATTTCTTTCTTTGAGAAAGCTGAAGCGATCAAAACCCTGATTAACCTCTGATATTCACGTGGTGCTCTTGATCTTGAGGACCGAAGCAATAACAAAGAGTTAATGGCAGCCATATGCTCAGGGTATTGTGGGTACTGTTGACCCAAATGTGAACTCCGTGAGTGACTGCTGCTAACTGCTGTTTGTTTCAGGTTTGGCGTGGAGATTACTGATGAAGAGTTTGAGCTGCTACTTGACAGAATCCCCCTTGATGAAGATGGAAATGTCAGATACCCCCAGTTCATGGCCATGTTTGATTCTCGGTACTCAGCTTATACATTTTATTTCTCGTTTGTTAATAGATTTTTTTTTTTTGTTTAATCTAAGAGGCTTACCTAACATTGCTAAACAGGCTTAGATTTCTTAAATGTGCTCCTTTATTTCATTCATTTGTATTTCATATATATAATACGCTGATAACACTTAAGATTAGGTGATACTATCATCACATTTTATTTATAACTTAATTGCTCTTTAAATGCTTATTAATTAGTTGTTCTATTATGAAGAATACGCCATTGAGGTAAATAGTTGCATGTGATCTATCTAGTGCTAAGGAATATGATAGACTTGTAAGTACAAATTAATGATTTCTAAAAACAGTCATAGATGCTTTTAATACCTGGGTAAGAACATGTTGCATTTGCAGATTCTATGTATAGTTTGGAATGCTTTTGAGCGGGGTAGTTGCTTTATGAAGATTTTTTCCTATTCAACCTCATAAGGCCCAGATATGGATCAAGTTTAGGTTAAAAATGACATTTGAGACATTTGGTGATATTTTATTGCTGAAAATTAGGGCCTGATCCTGAAAACAATTAATCATGGTTGTGTGAGTAGCACTGTAGAAGTTAATGGGATTACTCAAGCAAGTGAGGACTACTTGTTAGAGTAAAGTTTTGAAGGAACTAGTCTTTAAATTGGAATAGAAAGTGACCACAACTTGACTCTAAGAATGGGAAAAGCAAGACTTATTTTCAATAAATTGCTTAAAAGGTTAAGATCCAATCCTGCAGTCCTTTTGTACATCAAAATCCTAAATTTTGGATGTGCAAAGTCCGCAGGATTGAGACCCTATACTGGCTCAATTACTAAAGGTGCCTTTTATATTCAGACAATAAATATGTATTTCCCATATCTTTGTTTTGAAAAGTTGTGTATGTGATGGTAAACTTATAAATGACAACCTCACTTGCACATATTCCATTTTGGGCATGCACATACTTGTGCTCACATTTCACAAAAATATACATGCATTTTTACACTTGTTTGTGCCATTTAAATAATCTGAAATGTGCACGTGTGCCATTATTAGAATTTGTACCCACAATATCCACTGAGGCCATGGGATTTGGAGGTGCAAATTCTAACACTTGCATGCACATGTGTATGTTAGAGCTATTTAAAAGCAATGTCCTATTATTCAAGTTTTAGCAGGTGTTTACACCTGCATATACAAGTGCAAATAAGGATACACCCAGTTTTGTGAGCATACACATGAAGGCCATGTCTAAGGTTTTAGAGAGAATTTACCTTGCATTGTATTGAAATCATATGTTTTACTATAAAATGCAATTTATACACTGCAAACTTGGCCAATTTTCACATCTTTTATCCCACCTCCTCCTGCCTACACCAGAGACACTACAGCAGCACAGCTATGGTGCTGCAGCTGTGCCACTGTAGAGCCATAGTATAGACACTTGCTGCAGAGACGGAAGGGGTTTTTCTGTTGCTGTAGTTAATCCAACCCCTTAAGAGGCGGTAGTGTGGTCGACAGAAAAATTCTTTAACATATTGTTTACTCCTGTTGCCGAGACTTCCTCTCCAGTTCCCAGTCATATATATATCCTTCAGTCTAGTGTCAGTTCATGCCATTCCATTGAATCTTTTCCCACCAAAGTAATTAATGGCCACTTCTTAATGACATCTAGAGGCCTCTTCTCCATTTTTAATCCTCCTTGTTATCTTTGAGGTCTTTCATACAGTGATCCAACACTTTCCCCTCAAGTCTTCTTTCCAGACTTCTGGAACTCTTGCCTCTCCTGGTTCTCCTCTTTTAATTTATTTATTTTACGGCTCTATTAGCATTGCCTTCTCACCTTCCTCCCTTCCCTTTTGGTAGCTGTTCTCTGGAGCAGTACTTCTCAAGCTATCTGATGTGGGGGACCGGCAATTTTTTTTCCCCAATGTGCGCGCAGACTGGCAGCCGATGGCTCGCAGACCGGCACCGATCCGCGGACCACCACTTTGAGTAGCACTGATTTAGTGGTCTTTCTTTGGTACTTTCTCTTCTTTCACCCCTAGTGTGAACTGATGTACTACTCTTGTTTTAGTTTCCACTTATATGTTCATGACTCTCAAATCTATATCTTTACCCAGATTTCTCCTGCTCCATCTATGCTTCTATCACCTATTTTTGGTATTTCCTTAGGGGAATTAAATATGTCTAAAAAGAGACTTTATCTCTTTCCCCCTATTTCTCTGTCTCTGTTAACAATGGGATGATTTAATTGGGGATTGGTCCTGCTTTGAGCAGGGGGTTGGACTAGATGACCTCCTGAGGTCCCTTCCAACCCTGATATTCTATGATTCTATGAATACCACTCTCTCTCTCTAGCCACTTAAGCCTACAACCTAGGGTAATCTTTGACTCTTAACTTTCCTTCACTCGTCACAAGAGCTGTCCAAATAATTGATTTTTGTTGTTTGTTTGTTTTCCTGGCCCTACCAAAAATTTAGAAATTAAATAAGCTGATTTTTAAATTTTTTTGGTTATTTGAAAAGTAAAAAAAAACATTCATTTCAGGTCAAATGAAACATTATGTTTGACCTGAAAAGGAACATTTAGGTTTGATATTTTTAATAAAATTGAAATTACTTTCAAAATAAAAAAATGGCTTCAATTTGAAAAATCAAAACTTTAAGTTTAAAAATGTCTAAATGAAATGTCTTGATTCATTTCATTTTCAGTATTCCTTTTGCCACCCAAAACAGTGAATTTAATATGAATTCTCAAAATGTTTTGACACAGATTTTCAGAACGATGTGAATCTGAATTTTTTGGCCAAAAGACAAAACAAAACAAAAACAAAGAAGTTTGGTCTGAAAAATTTCACCCAGCTCTGATCCTCACATCCTTTTTCTCTCACCAAATCCTGTTTCCTCTGTCCGTCATCTTCACAATCAAGGGGTGACTTCATACCTGTCAATCTCAATAGCGTTTTAACTTAACCTATAGCAAGTTTTTGCCAGCTTGTAACAACCTCAGCTTTGTTCATCATGCTGATGAGGCCTAAAATGGCAATAACCCATCCCAAACAGATGTGACAAATGTTTAACTATTTACATATGTACAATGTCTATCATGATAGTTTCACATCACCAACCTAAAATAATTTTATTCATACCCAAATACCTTTGGGACTTTTCTGTTGCTGGGTTTACATTCAGTTACCAATCAGGCCCTCAGGAGCATCTGTTGTTTCTGTAGAATTTGCTCACAGAGGCAGACCCTGCCCATTTTATTTGAGTGGTGGATTCATCTTTGTAACAACTTTTCCAGTCTCAACTTCCATTGCTATATGCTCAGATTCAGTGGGCAGCCAAGCTGAAATTCTCTTCCCCTTATGCCACCTTAGATGGTCCTTATGGACAACCTTGGGTTTAGTCCCTGGGACTCAATTGTATCTTGTACACCACTTCATTTATTTGGGTCAGTACTGTGTAGGGTTCCTCCCAAGGTTTATCCAGTTTAGGGTTCCTACCCTTGTTTCTTCTAGGATCGTGGAATCAGACTAGGTCCCCCCCCCTTTTAAAAGTTTTCCCATATGGCCTTATATCCTACAGCCTGTTCATTTTTCAGGAGCAGATTCTTAGGTTGCAGCCCCAAGCTTCTTTAGCCAACAGACTCAAAAATTCTTTTTCCAAAGTCACTGTGATGGGCTTAACGCTTATCACCTGCAAGGCATCTGGGTGGGTAATTAACTAATTGTCTTCTGGCCAGAGGAGGTGGAGCTAGGCCTTATAAGTAGACTGAGGGAGCTCAGTTGGATTGAGACTGCAGAGGAGCAGGTCTCTCTAGTGGGGAGAGATGCCCTGGCTAAGATAGGGTTTAACAGTCAGGAAACAATGGAAGAATACTACTACAAGAGCAGGCTAGGCTCCTACAGGGGAAGCCCTTAGGTAGGGTCAACCAGAGAACTACATTATAGCCTGAGAGGGGCAGAAAGGATAGTTTGAAGATTTGGACTTTCATTTGGACTGTTACATGTTATCCTGGAAGGGGTTTAGACTTTCATGTGACTTGGCTGGAGGGCCAAGCCACAGAACACCCAGAGAGAAGGTGAAGGCTGGGAAAGACCATTGCAAGCCAAGGGAGCGCCCCACTGGGGACACCAGAGACAAGGATTCCATGCAACATTGTGACCAGAGACAAGGGGGCACCCATGAGGTAAAGATAGGCTAATACATATGCTACCAGAATTGGGATTTGAGACCACCTTCTGAGGAAAGGTGGAGGAACATACCAACTACCTTAAAGGTAGGTTCAGAGGGTCTGACTCACTTTTTGGGGGAAGATGGAGGACTTGTTCCGTATGCTGGTAGCCCAACAGGGGCAGATGTACGTTCTGTTGTTACACCCACTACAAGGACAGCAACAACAGTAAGAGATTCAATAGGAACATCTCCTGCAGTGCCTAGAGAAGTTGGCCCCAGGAACCCATATAGTTTCAGGATAAGAGGATTCTGGCAGACCGGTACCAGACCTGGCAAAATTGGGCCTAGGTGACGACCCTGAGGCATTTTGCATACCTTCAAGAGGTTAGAGACTGCAGCAAGGTGGACCAAATCCTCCTTGGCAGCTCGAATAGACCTGTTCCTCTTGGGAGAAGCTCAGGCAGCCTACCAAGCTTTGTCCAATGAGCAGGCACAGTCCTACAAAATTGTAAAAGAGGCCATTCTGGCCAGAAGCATACTGCCACCAGTTAGGACAGATCTTTTCCCAGAGGTGGTGTGTCCCATAGCAGCAGCACTAAGTTTATGAGACCTGGTAACATGATGGTTGCAGCCTGACACAAACTCTTTAGACAAGGTGGTGAACCTTATAATCCTAGAACAATTCCTAAGGGTCTTGCCTACCAGAGCCCAAAGTTTGGGTCCAAATGTTTCTGCCAACTTCTAGTGATGAAACAGAGGGAGGATATAGGCCTTTATGGAAGCTGATGGAGCTGAACCACCTGAAAGAGGGATTGGATCAAAG